TGGGGCCCATAAATCAATGGAGTGATGACAGCTACAAAATATATTTCCGGGTAAACTACGGCCACGTATGAGGTAAGGTCGAATTATGAAAAAATCTCATATGTTTGGATAATTACACTCACCCATCAACTACGAATCTTCTTACATGTTTACCTTGTGGTGTTAAATTTAGTGAAATATTTTATATTATGTGGAATATTCTCCAATTTATACCTGTTTTATCCCATCGAACTCTACATTTTGAAACAAAATGATCATAAGATGTGTCTCGCGGTTTGTATCAGATTGCGGTGCATTAGAAACTGTATGTTTGCTATAAACTAGAGAACATTCCATGAAATTAGAAAATTCTGTTGAATTTGACACTATAAAAATGGACATATAAGAAGATTTATAGTTGACCGTGATTGTAAATATACAAACAAAGATGTAATTTGACCTATATTTTAATAGATTTAAAAGAAAATGTACTTATGCAAGTGTAATAATTGTTCCAATCACATGAATTTGAATATAAAATAATTTCTCCAACAAGGTTTTCTGATTGGACTGGAATATAGTTGGCAAAATGCAATGACATGACAAAGTCAAAGCAGAACAACCCTTCTTTCCCGGTAAAAACAGTAGAACTGAAGCTTTTGACTGCTGACAGCAGATTGTTTTATCGGTTGAAATGGTAAAAATAACACAGCCCTGGGGGTAAAAATCAGGGGGTACTATACTATACTATTAATAATGTTAGCCACGTGAACCTTAAAAGAAATCAACGGTCGATCATAGGAGGGAGTACAACGGCTACACAAAGAACGGAGTTATTATAAGCTGCAAGTGCGGTGCACGTACGCCACATACAATCATTGGCCGAATAGAAGAGGTCAAAATAATAAAAGTCCACCTAATCCTAGGCTGTCTCATATCATACGTTGAAATTCCCCTTGAAAGAAGTGCAGACTGAGTGACCTTCACGATCTCTCCTCCCCCGCCCCTTTCTCTCTCTTCTTTTTTTTAATTATAGAAATTATTATTATTAATATTATGTTGTGGAATATTCAGCTCTCCCACATTCATTCCTCATTTATTCACAATCCCGGATCACCACAAGACCATTTCCTATTGTACTCGAAACTTCCCTGAAAAATCTCTCCCTCTCTCTCTCTCTAACTCTCTCTCTCTAACACACACTCTCTCTCATCTTTTTTATTTTGTGTGTCTCTTTGTTAAGTTCTTGATGTCCTTTTCTAGTTAGTTCTTTGGGGCGCCTTATCCATCGAGGGGTGTGTAATTTTTCATTTTGTTTCTTCCCCCTTATCTTTTTGTGGGATTCTTTCTTTTTATTAAGTAACTCGCGATATTTTTAATTCCTTTTTTTTTATATATAAAAATAAAAATTCATTCTTTTGCTTTTCTGTCTGCTTTGTCCTGGTGTTCTTTTTCCCTATTTGGGCTCTCTTCTTTAATTTTTATTTTTTCTCCAGTTCTCGTTAATCTTGTTACTCTGCATTGTGTGAGGGGAAAACCACTTTGATGCGCATTTTCAGATTCTTGTGTTGAAAACAAGAATCTCTTGTTTTGGTTGGTTGGTTAGTTGATGTCTTTGGCTGTTGGGGGGGTTGTTTCGAGTTCCAAAAACATGGGATTTGACGAGAACAAGGGGAAAGGGAAAGAGGCCGACCCGTTTACTGAACCCAATGAAATTGGGTCGAGTCAACCCGACCCGGATATCGAGCCCGGAACAGTTGGCAGCGTCAGCAGGCAAATGAGCGAGACCTCTCTGTATGCCACTGAGGATGAAGATGATGAAGACACTGAAGCCAAGCTACAGCTGGGCCCTCAATGCACTCTCAAGGAGTTGTCTGAAAAGGACAAGGTTTGTTCTTTTTAATAAAAGCACAATCTTTTTTCCTTTTTTTTTTTATTGCTCTGTTTTCAAGAATGTTGGCCTGCCCTCCATTTTTATTTTTTGTGTTTTCATGGCGGAATTGGTGTTGTTTTGCTTTTTGAGAGATTTAGGATGATGAGAGTTTGAGGAGGTGGAAGGAACAGCTTCTTGGGAGCGTGGATATGAATTCTGTTGGAGGTATTTCTTTTCCTTTTTTTTTGATTGAATTTTTCTTGTTATATTATAATATAAATTGTTATTGTCAATTATATTCCAGAATCCAAGAATGCTCATAAGTTTGCTCAATTTCGTTATTTAAACTCAAATCATGATAGATCTTGCTGTAGTTAATTTTTTTTTTTGGTTGGAGGTGAATTAGGGGATATGTGAAACGATTAATTAAACAAAAAAAAAAAAGAATATGCTTCTAGAAAAGTCAAATTTACATTGCTCACAACATGTTCAATTAGATCCCTCGGTGCCTGCCCACGGCCTCGTCCTGTCATTTATTTTTTCGTATGAAATTTATTTCCTTTTTTTAGAATTTAACGGAAGATTTTTGAGTAGTACTATATAAAAAAAATGGCATCCACTTCTGGCCGTTGGATCATAGGGTGTGTGGTTATGTAGTTATATATACCTATTACCTATATATTACATATGTGAGTGCTTACTGTATTGATTATGTTGGCACAAATAGAGTTCTTTTATGTGTGTGTGTAACGCAGTAATGATTAATATGGATTATTGTTATTGTTGGATTGCAAAAAGTGTTGATTTTCGATGATTCTTGTTGTAATGTAGAAACACTTGATCCAGAAGTGAAAATATTTAGCCTTGCGATAAAATCGCCTGGTAGGGCTGATATTGTGCTTCCGATACCCGAGGCTGGAAACCCTAAAGGATCCTGGTTTACACTCAAAGAAGGAAGCCGTTACAGCCTTCAGTTTACTTTCCAGGTCAGCAACAACATTGTTTCTGGCCTCAAGTACAAGAACAATGTCTGGAAAACCGGCATGAAAGGTTCTCTCTCCTCTCTCTAAATTATTACAATTTGACAAAAAAAAAAAAAAAACGAGGCATTAAATTAGTGTTCTGATTATTCTTCGTTAAAAAAAATTGTTTTCAGTGGACAACACTAAGGAGATGATTGGAACATTCAGCCCTCAGCCAGAACCATATACTCACGAAATGCCCGAAGAGACTACCCCTTCTGGCTTTTTGGCTAGAGGATCCTATTCAGCAAAAACGCAGGTTATTATTATTCAATTGTTTTCTTTTCTTTCGTTTTTTTTTTAAATCTTTGAGTTATGATTATTTTTGTCGAATAAATGTTTTCTGTGATTGTTGAAATGCAAAGGGATTGATGATTCTTTTATTTTATTATAATCTTGTTTGTTGCTTACTACAAGTTCATCCTCACGTAGATGACTCTTCGTTTGTTCGTATAAATGATGTTGAATTATTTACTCATAATAATTATCATCTTTGTTTTTCCACGTGCGCAGTTCCTTGATGATGACAACAAATCGTACTTGGAGCTGAATTATACGTTCGAGATCAAGAAAGACTGGCAAGCGACATAAACGAAAGCTGCGCTATATATGCTATCTATATATTAGAAGCATTTTCACTTTGCACCAACAAAATATGTATCTCGTTTTTTCCGTTTTTCTTTTTTTTTTTGGGAGTGTTTTTTGTCAACTTTTTGACTATTGTTGTCTGATGATGAGATGATAGAACCCAGTTAAAGAGGATAGAAAAAATTTCTTGTCTAAGATTGGATTGGTTTTTCAGATGTCGAAGCTGGTAAATTCTAGCCGTAGATCGAACTCAATTTGTTGATTGTCATGCAATAAAAGTTGTGCTTGACCTGCAACAATTTCACAAATTTCTCTCTCTTTTTTTGTGGCCCATCTGGTCTTTCGGGCTTGATTTTCCATATTTATTGGTTCTTGGCCCATTGTAGAGATTTCTGACCCCATCACAAGCTATTCAACGTTGATTCATGTTCGATTCTATTAAAGCTTGTCCTAACTTTCTCAAAAAAAAAAAAAAAAAAAAAAAAAAGCTTATGATAATTAGATTTAAGTTCAAATATTATACGTAAAATTCGATAAAACTTAAAATAAGTTTGAGCTAAAGGTCCACTAATGTGTAGATATATCCAAAAGTCCAAGTCTATTCAGCTTAAATCGGGCCTTATGGGCCGAGTTAATGTGGATCTTGACTTTCGAGATCCGTATTCCAAATTTACCATACATCCGAATTCAGAATTGGAATTAGAGTCGGAATTGGAATTGGAATTGGAATATCGACTTCCAATTTCGCAAAATCTCCTCTTCAATTTAGATCGAAATCCACATATGATGTATCACACCATTTGTTCTTCAGTAAATCATTCTACGCGCATAGTAGAAGGCTAAAGAAGCGAACCCTAACTTCCAATTTGGCATAATTGCCGTCTCCAATTTAGGTGGAAAACCCTAGAAATCCATGAAAACAAAGCGGGAGGAATCCGAGAATGCAGCGGACGAAGAAGAGGCTGCGAAGAGGCAGAAGCTAATCGACCAGTCATCCACTCAACTCGCGTTTGAAAACTCGCTGCTACCGCTGGCATCTTACGATGACGACGACGAGGAAGAGGAGGACGATAGGAGAGAGAAAGGTGGAGATGGACTTGCAAACAATGGCAGAAAGGCGGAGCAAAATAGGAGTGCTTATGATGAGGAAGATGAAGACGATGATGGAGAAAGTGAACTAGGGCAAGGGAACCGCAGTCGAGCTATTGAAGTAAGAAGGGACTGCCCGTATCTTGATACTGTTAATAGACAGGTATTGTTGCTCGCTCTTCCATAGCTTGAGATTGCGATAGATGAATTTTTTTTACTGGAATGTGATATTTTATTTGTGAAGGGATATGAAAATGGGGAGTTCGAAACTAATGTATCGTAGGTAAGAAACAAGACAAAAAACGAACAACATATTTGCTGGGTGCTGATGATATTTGCAGTACTTAATTGTACAGTTTGCGGAAACCGTCTTATATGTGTTGAGATATTGATCCAAATGAATTATATTGCATGAAGTATTTGATTGGCTTTCTGTGGTGAGGTAGAAGGAACTCGATCTAATTTTAAAGGTATTGCTTGTGCACGGTTTAAGCGTTTTTACTTTTATCTTTACCCTATCTTAGCAAGTATTTGATTGGAAAAAGAAAAGAAGTGGTAGATGCTACATGTTACTATAATATTTAGATTCAAGCTCGTTTTTGCTGCTGAAATGCGTATATGATATTTAAGAATGTAGGGTTTGGTTGTTGATAAGGTTTGTTGTAGGTTTGGAACCATGGAGGATGTAAACTGTAGTGCTGTTCATATTATAGTATGACCGGAATAAATGAGGGCTGGAAGTTTTCTATACCTGGTAATAAATTAGCTTCGAAGCATTTGCTTCTTACTATTTCGATTGTTGTGTTCCTGAGCTGGATGAGGAACTGATTATTTAAAAATTCTTTACATTGTGGTAATGTCATAGTCATTTACTCTTCCAAACATGATGGTGAAACTTTGTGGCAATTAATCTCGAGACACTGAATTCTTGCATAATACGTTTTAATGTACACTGAATTATTTGATATGAATTAAGCTATTTTTCAGTTTTTTCTCTTGGTCATAATTCTGCCTCTGAATCCATGTTTTGTTACCTTTCAGGTTTTAGATTTTGACTTTGAGAAATTTTGCTCGGTATCTCTTTCAAACTTGAATGTCTATGCCTGTTTAGTCTGTGGGAAGTATTTTCAAGGAAGAGGACAGAAATCTCATGCATATACTCACAGTCTTGAAGCGGACCACCATGTCTACATTAATCTTCGAACAGAGAAAGTTTATTGTCTTCCAGACGGATATGAAATTATTGACCCGTCTTTGGATGACATTCGGCACGTACTCAATCCAAGGCATGTTTAATGCATTATTTCTTTCCATTTACATGTTCTCTACTTTTGCTTGCCTTCTGTTCTGATTATTTTCTTTGTCATTTATCCTTGTCGTTTACGTTTCCATGTCTGCTTTTCTGTGTTTTCACAGATTCATCATTCAGTTTTTTATATGTAAATTGTTCAGGTTTGCAAGAGGGCAAGTTGGTCAAATTGACCAGAATCGGCAGTGGTCAAGGGCACTTGATGGTTCCGATTACCTTCCTGGAATGGTATGGTATTTAATCCCGATGCTCTTGGTGTGCATGTGCATAATTTTGATATTTTCTTATTTAAAATATTTGTAGGTGGGGTTGAATAACATCAAAGAAACTGATTTTGTCAATGTGACCATTCAATCTTTGATGCGTGTTACTCCCTTGAGGAACTTTTTCCTCATCCCTGAGAATTATGCCCACTGCAAATCCCAACTTGTTCTTCGATTTGGAGAGCTAGCGCGAAAGATATGGCATGCCAGGAACTTCAAAGGACAGGTTGAGTCCTGAATGCAATTGTAACTTTCGTATTCCTTTCATTCTCTACCTTCATGTTCTGACTCTTTAAATTGTGCAGGTGAGTCCACACGAGTTTTTGCAGGCGGTTATGAAAGCTAGTAAGAAACGTTTCCGAATAGGGGCACAATCGGATCCAGTTGAGTTTATGTCATGGCTTCTTAACACACTGCATGGGGATCTTAAAAGTTCAATAAAGGGTAGAAGCATCATTCACCAGTGCTTTCAGGTTCGACCTAAACTCATCCCACCCCACCCCAAACCACATACGCACACACATACACACACACATACACACACACGCACATGATCTGCATTCAGCGAAATAAGTGTTTTTTTCCTTTTTCCTCTGCTTTTCTCAATATGAATGTTTCTTGCAGGGTGAATTGGAGGTCGTAAAAGAGATCCATGGTGACAGTGGAAATGGTATGGAGACAAGTAGAATGCCTTTTTTAATGCTTGGATTAGACTTGCCACCTCCTCCACTGTTCAAGGACATCATGGAGAAAAACATTATTCCACAGGTTAGATTCTTTAATTGCACGAGTAGTTACTTAAATATTTTTTTGAATTAATTGCTGCATGTTCCTGATATAGAGACTGTTATTGTTTCATGTTTGAGATGTGTAACTCGATTGGGCAATGTTTATTATGTTTATCATGTTTATTATCATCGCCTTCTTTTAGTGATGTTTGTGGCAGAAGTGACCAGGATAGGGAGCACTTCTCCTGTAATGAATCTATTTCTTATACGTATTGCCGCGTCTATTAACCAGATATTCCTCTGTTTTCTTTTTCATAGTAATGAATGAAACCTAGGTTCTGCAAACCTACCTATACCCATTTTTTGTTTTTTCTGATGAATTTAAATAATATGTGAGATGCTGTTTCCTTTTACTATGTTGCCCTGTGATGGTTTGCTGCAGTATGTGAGTTTGCATGTTTTTTCAGGGACAAGTTCAGGGAAGCTTGTTGTTGCATGAATTTTTTCTATGACAAGTTTTGAATGCTTGATCTTCCTTGAATTATATTATCCTGTTTACAGCTGTATATTTTAATCTTGACAAACTGAATTGGAATTACTGAACTCATTAATGAAGCCTATGAATATGTACAGGTTCCACTTTTCAACATATTGAAGAAATTCGATGGGGAGACTGTGACTGAAGTTGTCCGCCCTCGTATAGCAAGGATGAGATATCGTGTCACGAGGTTGCCTAAGTATCTTATTCTCCACATGCGTCGCTTTACAAAGAACAACTTTTTTGTGGAGAAAAATCCTACTCTAGGTGAGTGGTTATTATTTCGCTATTACAATACTGTTCGTCAAATACACACTTCTTGTGGCACAGTCATGTAGATGAAATTCAATTTTCACTTAGTGCAAGCCCATGTTATGCGAGCACTCAATTATCATGGCCCTACCCTAATAATGAAGAAATAAAATATTGGTAGACCGTAGATATGTAAACTGAATGCAATTTTTCTCCACCCCAGAACTATGTAAAAGAAATACATCACCTTTTTTTGTGTGTAGTTAATGGAGCTGATGTGTTATTAATTGAAATTATATTTATGTATTAGGTATTTGATGGTTTCTCTTTTATCTGATTCCTTATGGCATCTTTTGTTTGTGCTAGTCAATTTCCCCGTGAAGAATCTTGAATTGAAGGATTACATCCCTCTGCCTGCCCCAGTTGAGAATCGAAGGCTGCGATCAAAGTATGATTTGATTGCCAATATCGTTCACGATGGTAAGCCAGGGGAAGGATCATACAGAGTGTTTGTGCAGCGAAAGTCAGAAGAACTATGGTAAAAACTTGGATTCCTGTTCTTTTGGTTGTAAAATTAATCGAGACACTGTAATAATTTTCATACATATCCTTAACGAGGTCTCTTGTTTGACCAGGTACGAGCTCCAAGACCTTCACGTGTCCGAGACTTTGCCTCAGATGGTTGCACTGTCGGAGACATACATGCAGATATATGAGCAGCAGCAGTAATGGCAATTTTGTGTTTATTTGTTTCTTCGGTGCTCATGAATTATGCTAGAAGTATTTTTGTGTAGGAATTAAATATTTGTTGTGATATACAGTGTGAAACCAGTAAATGTATGGAACTGGTCACAACCTTGAGAATTATATACAGGAAAATATCTCGACTGAAAAATTCTAGAAAGCTCCTGAGATTTGCAGCCACTCAGTAATGTGGTCCAATCCTTTTTACGTTTCGGGCTAAATTTTGCCATATCCATTAATGAGGCTTAAATTATTTCTAAAAACGTAAATTTGTGTTGCGTTTTTCTCCATCGTAGTTGGTCGAGAGCTAATTAATAATTAGCCTTTCAGAATAAACAATTAAACGTGGTTGTTAACTATGTCGGTGATTGAATGACAGTTCCTGAATGCTCAAAAAATCACATTCCATCTATTATTAGTTGGTAGCTGTTTAACACCACCATAAAAATAGCTTTTGGAGCTGATATAAAAAATAATTAAATTACAATGGAGGGAGAATTGATGAGAGTGGTTAGGTATTGGTTGGAGGGTGAAATTACAAACTTCATCAAGGTATGGCTTACAGCCTACGCCTCCCTGTCTTACTGCTATTTCTCCGCCAAGGTGTTGCCGAAAGGCGGCGCCGCAAGGCTCGCCGCCTTCCTCCCGGTGGTGTGCCTCTTCCTCCTCCTCCCGCTGCAGCTCCACTCCGTTCACCTCATCGGCACTACCGGGTTCTTCCTAGCCTGGCTCTCGACGTTCAAATTGCTCTTGTTCGCCTTCGACAAAGGCCCATTGTCCACTCCTTTGATTTCTCTTCCCCGATTCATCGCCGTCGCTTCCCTACCGATCGTACTCCAACAGAAATCGAAATCTCAAGGAAAATTAAATCAGAAATCATTCCTAAACTACGCGATTAAGGCTGTCTTGTTTGCCCTGATAATCAAGACGTATGATTACGAAGATCGTATTCATCGGAGAATCATCGTGGTGCTGTACTGCTTCCATATCTACTTGTGCTTGGAGATTATGCTGGCCGTGGCAGCAGCCGCGGCACGGTGGCTTCTGTCGGCTGAGCTCGAGCCGCAGTTCAACGAGCCGTACCTGTCGACATCTCTCCAGGATTTCTGGGGTCGCCGGTGGAACCTCATGGTAACGCGTATGCTGCGGCCCACCGTATACTTCCCCGTGCTTGACTGGTCAACGGGGATCGTGGGACGCGATTGGGCCCAGCTGCCAGCTGTGATGTCAACGTTCGTTGTTTCCGGGATGATGCACGAGCTCATCTTCTACTACTTCGGGCGCGTGAGGCCCACGTGGGAGATCACGTGGTTCTTCGTGCTGCACGGCGCTTGTGTGGTTGTTGAGATAGCCGTGAAGAAGGCGGTGGGCTGCAGGTGGCGGCTGCCCAGGTTCGTCGGGACGGCTATGACCGCCGGATTCGTTTTCAGCACCGGAATGTGGCTGTTTTTCCCGCAGTTCCTGCGGTGTAAGGCCGACGAGAGGGGATTGGCGGAGATCGCGGCGGCCGGCGCGTTTGTGAAAGACGTTGTACGCGCTATGGTCAACTCCTAGATGTTCGTTCTCTCATTATTTTCTGAGTTTTCCACAGTAGATCATAATAATTTGATTCTTCTTTAATTCTCAAATAAATAAATTATAAAAAGGTATTTTTTATTTATTTATTTTTAAGTTTTACCATGATTTTCATGTTGACTTTTTATGTTATTCCACTGACGGATGTAAATCGAGCTGAGCTTGATATTTGAATAAATAAAAATATAGTATATGTGCCTTTTTAATTTAGTCTTTGTTCGTGTTATTATACGAGAATGTTGATTTACCCCTAGTTAGTTGCAGAATCCTTCGTAACCAAAAAAAAAAATATATCTTATATTTTATTTAATCCAACCCATTATTGGCAAGTATTCAATATTAACAAACCCCCAAAAGAAAAGAAAAAAGCCAAGAGGACTGCGTTGTAAAAAGCCAATTCTTTTTGGCATATGTTTCAAGTACTATATTAAACACAACTTAGGCTGGACAAAACTAAAAAATAAACCAATTTTTTTTGTTTTTTTTTTTTTTTTGTTGAATAACAAAAAAAAAAAACCAATTCTTGAGTATATAATATATTCAGTCTCACTGCAACTTAAAGACATGGTTTTTTCTATGTACAATAAATAAATAAGTAATTGCTTGATCCATCCATGTATAAAAAAGAATGACAGACTATTAATAACTCATCTTACTGTAACAAGGATCTTTTCCACTATTGTCCGTTTCGCCCTTTTTCGACATATTTTTTAACCTGCACGATTGCTCCAATATCAATTTATACGTCGAAGGATACTTGGAAGCAACTAAGGAGAATCGATCCCGATATTCTTCAACTCCCTCAACCAACAACTGCCAGATCAGCACACCAGCACCCGCCTCCCTTTTCTTCGCTGACTTGTAAACCTTGTCGTAAACAATCTTCAATAAGATGTCTCTGTCATAAGATCCATCTGTCTGAACGCTCAAAGGGGCGCCGATTTCCGTAAAAAGAAGCGGCTTCTTCAACACATTTTCACTGTCGCTTATATGAGCATCTGCCCAGTTCGAAAGGTACTTCACTTTTGCTTCTAAATCCGCCTGCGGGATCCTGCATTAATACAAACATTAGGCACTCAACGTAACATTGTAAGAGATAAATAATAATTATTATTTATTATTTTATTACGAACCAGCTGTGGGGATAAGCATGAACTGAAGCAAAGTCGATGTCTTTAATGGCGGAGTTGTTAATGAAGTCCGATCCAAGTGATGCGGCCCATTCCCCTGGATTTGCTCCGTAATTCTCCGTTGATTTCGAGGCGTAAAACCCTTCGAGCCCGACTGTTACGAGGTGTTTTTTGTCCAAACTTTTCACGAATGCAGCCATCTCCGTAATCCAAGACTATACAAATATGCCACGTTCAATGCATTAGCTAAATCAAGAACTGCATCTCTTAAATCAATTATTATCGTTTTCAAATAATCTTGATTAGACACTACGACGAAAACTGAACCTGAAGAAAAGGAGCAGATGAAACGGATTCACACCGAGGCTCGTTTATCAGTTCCCATGCGAAAATAGATGGTTCCTCGGAATATTTTACTCCGGTAAATGAATTCTTTCTAGATAAAATAGCCTGCAAATAATTGATAAAAACAACACGACGTAAACAAGATAGTGTACGTGCCATTACCAACTGTTGAGTACTTCAAGAAACGGTTACCTTGACGTAAGCTCTGTAATAACCTTTTATGGTTGGGTCGGAGAAAAACGAATCGGTCGAGGATGAGACATCGACTCCAGCTTCTTCCGCCCAACGCACGTACTGAGCTTTTCCACCGTACGCGTCCAAATTATTCACGAGGCTTAGGATTAATCGTATCCCGTGTTTTCTTGCTTCAACTAACACATAGTCTAATGCCTGAAACAAAAATGATTATAGAGTAATTAAAGCATATGTTGGATATTAATTAAATCTGAATGGATTTAGTTACAATGAAACAAAAGATGCATTCAGAATTGTAACAACATTGACAAAAAACTTCAAAATTCTTAAGTTTGACAAGAACCATAAAATTAATTGTTCCCCCTCACCACCGATGCAATACTTCAAAAAATATATATAAAAAAAACAAAAATAAAAATCTGATCACACATATTTTCAAAACAAAACCTCCAGAAACCAATTTGAGATTTTAGATAGATATTTTTATTTTGAGAGAGAGAGAGAGAGAGAGAGAGAGAGAGAGAGAGAGAGAGAGAGAGAGAGAGAGAGAGAGAGAGAACCTTGAAGACACGTTCATTGAAGACACCGGGTCGGAGCTGAAGAGAATTCGGGTCAGGGCCATCGCTGAAAGCCCACGTGCGGCAAACGGTCAACCCCATTTGAGAACCTCGCTTGAGCATCTCAGAAACCCTGCGCCTGGAAGAACCCAGCTGAGCGCTCTCATCCATCAACCAATAAGAATTCCACCCATTTACGTACACTTCCGATTCCGATTCCGATTCACGATTCCCATCCTCTCCAATGAGCACGAATCTGGTGTGGTTCACCCCCACGAAACCTATCCTGGGCAGATTCCATACCAGAACAGGGAGCTCGAATTCATCGTGGAAGTTGACATACAACAGGAAGAAGATGGCGCAGATGCCTAGAACTGGGTAGAGCCTTTTCTCTCTCCACTGTGAATCCATTACAATAATAATAAATGGCGGCTGAAAATAGTGCTCAACGCGAAGAGATGTTTGCTATTCTTTATGGAGGCAGGGGGCGTGTCATCGTCACCGTGTGCGGCGGGGCAAGAGGCGGCGGGAGCTACGGACAATGGATAAACGTTAGTGCTTTTGGGTCGGTGGGTTTTTTCTCAGTAGGTGTGTGTTGTATTTTTTTCATTAATTGTTGAGGAAAGTCAACTCGGTTACGCTGCTGTCTTGTTTTTTTCTTGTTTTGTTTTTTTGTTTTTTTTTTTTTGTTTTTTTTAAATGTCTATTTAATAATAAAATAAATAATAAAATAATAATTCACCCCTACATGTTAGTCTGAACTCAAAAGTCAGAACCACAGTTGTTGAACCACTTGTGTAGTGGGTCTTTTTCCATATAAATATAACGAATCCAGTATTGGAATTTAAATGAAAGCAACTGCTGGAAAAATTCAAGTTCGGGTTGATATTTAAAAATGAAAACAAATAAGGTATTTTAGTTGGAAGTTGTATATGGATGTATATTGAATTATAATATTATTACAAACAATTTTTTTTATTTGTTAGAAATAAGAGAAATGAACTGAAACAAAAGAAGATAACATTCTATTCTGGCCTACTTCTCCATTTCAATTATTTGTATCAGGTCCCATATATCTGTTTTAAAATCAAATTATCGCTACATTTATACGATTTTCCCCTTCTCAACGTGTTAATTGTGGTTTTGCGATGGCTCAAATGCACCAGAATCGACGGATCAGATATTACGACCGATCATCTTTAGGTACAAAACATTTGCAGTTTATCCCACAACGAAAGCGAAAATCATTTGCAGTTTGCTCCCGTTTCATTGATCTAAACTCGGAAGCAGAGAAATTAAGCTTTAAAACTTGCAACATGTTGAGAAATTAATTGCCTTCACAACTAATTTCGACTTCACCCCGACTACAAAACCAGCAAAAATTGCTTCGAAACAGCACATTATGCAGTAAATTACATTTTATTTTTTCCTTATAGATCTTTTCGTACACCATCTATATGCAATAGTTTAAAAAAAGCGGACAGTTTACGGGGAAGACAAACAACAACTCAGTACTCAAACACAGAAGAGATAATCAAACCATTAGTTACATCATTTAGTTTACAGATTTAACTACAAAGTAAGTATGCTATATATATATATATATATATATGTGTGTGTGTGTGTGTGTGTGTGTGTGTGTGTGTGTGTGTACCTGAGATCATTGATCACGAAGGAACCTCTGCAAACACTGGAAACCCAAATGCTCGGCACAAAACCTCTCCATTTCCGTACCACCGCCTTTTTCAATGCAAACATCTCTTTCAAAGCCCTCGATAATATCATCCCAATCCCTCAAATATCCATCCCAATGCTCAGCTCTACTATCGGAAACTGCATCCAGTATCTCTTGCAAACCTACAATCTTGCGGCTCACATGCCGCCTCAGCTCCCTCACGTTTGGATCGAGCCCAGGTACTGAATCGAGCCTGAATAACAAGCCCATTAATGCCTCGTTTATTTTCACCCGCTCCCTCTCACTCGCTCGTACAGCATCAACCGTCTCCTGCCAGACACAATAATTATGGTATATTTAGAATGACATACGTCTGAAAATCGAAAAAAAAAAAAAATTCGGACAAGCAATGTCAGCAATCAGCATATGCATTTAGTACTAATGGTGATCTGTGAGTAAACATGTAAGGGTGGAATGTATGAAATTAGCCAATTAAGATTGCTAGCTATATTCGAAAATGTTATACCAATCATGCCTAATAACCGAGCACAAACTTGTATATACAATTTCTTGCGACCTTTTATTCTTCCCCAAATTAGACCTACACAAAGCTGAAAACAGGACATAAATTATAATGAAGTCAGATCAAAATTGTAACATTAGCCATTAAACGAATCCGCTGCGTCATGAAAAAAAATCAATAGGTCGAACAATTTCTTCATGCTCCAGGAATCCATCACAGTTAACCGACAAAAAATAAAAAAATAAAAACAATAATAATAAAGGGAGAACAGTGAAAGCTGAACCGACAGAAACTCGTCAATTTTCTAGAGCACTTTTAGCATATTATATGCTTCACTCTGAGATAAAATTACTAAATTCAATCGCGAATTTCTGCAAGCTAATTAAAAAAATGCATGATGATGGCGATGTAGACTGATGTAATAGAGTGAGTGAAGAATTAGAGAAATCGTGCCTGGCGTTGGATGATTCTTTGCCAGTAATTGGCTTCGGAATTGACGGCGGAGATCTTCCCGACAAGGACGCGGACCACGTGAGACCGGTAGGCGGATTGTATCCGAACAGCAGCGGACAATTCTCGGGGTTGGGGATGAGCGGCGGCCACAGTTATCGGAATGGATTGTTCATCGGTGGCGGAACTGATGGGAATTTCGGTAATTTTGGGGTCGGGATCAGGGGCAGAGTGGTCATTATGGAAAGAGTATACAACCGTGGTGGCGGTGGAAGAGAAAAATCGAGGTCTGTAGGAGGACTTCATTTTTTCTTTTTTTTACCAGTGGAAAGAACGAAAAGTGAAAGCAAAGAGTAAAGAGAAAAAGATGAGTGAGAGTGACGTTGCCGAATGTGGACGTTTCTAAAAAAATTATCTTGGCGCGTATTACGCTTGGGCTTCAGCAATTCCCGTTATTTGTGGGGCCCATGGGCTTAGCAATACGTGTATGTATGGGCTATATAGTTATTTGTGGGGCCCATGGGCTTAGCCATACGTGTATGTATGGGCTATATATTTTGGCCCTCATTTAGTTGGAAATTAGTCATGATTAAATATTAATTATATAATTAGTTTTTGTACGATTTTTAGTTTCCCCAATAATTTATCGACCGGCAAATATTATATTATCGTGGATTATCTTGTCGTTTAGATAGTTTTTTGTGTGGACGTTCCGGAGTCCGATAAAATAACTGAGGATAGAAAAAAAGAATTGGTGAAGTAAATTATTGAGATTATTGACCACAAACAATAATGCAATCTTTGGATCATCCAGTCTACTCAATAATAGTAATACAATCCATTAATTATTCACTAATAATACAACAGTCCAGTTTAGCCAAAAAACAAAAAAAATTGTTTTCAAAGGGGTGAAGGAAGAATCTTCCCGGAGCACTTCCCAAACCCAACGCTGTAACCATCTCCCTGTAATTCGATCCGGAAAAAAAAATACTGATGAAATCGGCACAAATACAATCTACAAAAAGTAAATATAAAGTTTAAATAAACTAAAACCTTGCAACAGCCACTCAAAATGACTTCATCTCCGTCTTCTAGAAACGTACGAGTAGTTCCACCTAGAGACAAAGGCTGTTGTCCGTTCCAGCTCAATTCTAACAAGCTTCCAAAAGACTCAGGTACCTAAAGATGAATTAAGGTACCGCTAATTTCTTCATTGGTGCTAAACGCGCAAATTAAAAACATGCAAAACTACAAATGAAGGAATTAGTTATACAGTATGGTAATCTTACAGGACCACTTATAGTTCCAGTTCCTAGGAGGTCACCAGGTCTTAAGTTACAACCGTTGCTCGTATGGTGGGCAAGTTGCTGAGTTATAGTCCAATATCTGTATAGCAAAATAACTTATTGTCGTCGTTCAAGTTATAGGGACCATCTAATTAAATAAAAAGGTAAAATATATAATGACAAATTCATACATGTGTTTCAAGTTGCTTTTTGCTACTATGCTTCCGTCTTCTTTGCCAGCTGGCACAATGGAAACCTGAGTATAAGAAGAGAGCATAAAATGAAATGTATAAGGATATCCTATTCTTTTATCCGATAGACGAGCCAAATACCTCCAAGGAAATATCGTAGTTTTTGGATTCTTTCTCCGCGATATACGGCAAAGGAGGAGGATCCTGCAAGTAACATTATACAAACAATTATATTGATGGAAAGACCTAGCATACCAGAATATTGTGATACCCAATATAATAGTCAATTAATTAATACCTGTTTTTGAGCATCAAAGGCGAACGGTTCTAGAGCATCCAAGGTCACAATCCATGGGGATATAGTTGTACCTACAGTATAACCCAAAAGCAAAAGATAAAGCTTCTGCTATCTTCAGTTGCACCATTTCGAAATTTTGATTTCAATTTCGGGTAGAATACTCCGTAAGTAATAGGAACGATTGTGTACCAAAGCTTTTTCCGAGAAAAGGACCAAGAGGCACGTACTCCCATGCCTGAATATCTCTGGCTGTCAAAACAAATATTAAATAATGTTATAAGCAATCGAGTGGGCAAACTTCTTAGATGATTTGGTATGATGAATTTATGTGCTTGGAAGTGTGATACATACCACTCCAATCATTCATCAAGACAAGTCCAAAGATATGATCTGCGGCCTCATTAACATCCACAGGCTTCCCGAACTCATTTCCAGGACCAACTATAAAAGCCTATACGCATTTTATCAATTTGCAAAAGTAGCAAACACATTATTTAGTTCCAAAAGCAGTAGGTCATGGTAATTATATTTATCACATAAAAACAGTAGCAGAAACAAATGGGATCTAGTTATTTAGATTCCTTCCGGAAAAAAAAAAATCATTGTTTATCATTCACCCGAAATAATCTCGTATTTTTCTAAAGCCAAATGCATACTACTATATACTAACATTATTACATTTTCCTTAATTATATATTGTTAAAAAATATTTGTATTGATAAATTCAAAAGTAAATCATATAAAATAAAAAAGAAAGTCTGATATAAGACCCTACAGTAACACTTGTCTCTGCAAAACACAAATTTAACATCCATAAGTTTCGTTCCCTAGTTCTTCCCCAAAAAATTCCCTCCCAAAATTACCAAAACCACGTCAAACTTGGCTATGTATTTCTCCTTTTGGAAAAGAATATAAAATACTTACCATTTCCAGTTCGAAGTCCAGCTTACGAGAAGGTCCGAAATAGGGCTGAGAATTGGGAGCTGGATGGGCTTGACCTCTGGAACAAAAAGATATTCGATAAGTGATGCAATATAATTCTCATTTTTAACTGTAAAAGGGAAAATTTGGCTACGAACAAACTCAATTAGTAATTCTTGCATGAAATATGAGCATATATAGTAAATACTTTTGCAAACAACTGTCTATACATTGGAGAACATTTGAAGATTTAAAAGTTAAACAACATAGACTGATGTAAGATGCAGTCCTTTGTAAAATTTCAGGACTGAGATTGGGGCTAAAATACAACACAGATTGGGCTCCAAAGATTAATGGCAACTTGTCTGTATGTAAAAAAACTTCTGTTTGTAACCTTGGTCTGATTATGTCAGTGCCAGAGATGACAACCGATGATGCACGTCCATGGTAAGCAAGTGG